AGAAAATGGAGTCACTAGTCGATCAATCGACAAATTTCCCTTCTCCTTCTCGTCTCTTTCAACAGAGACACACGAACGCGATAATAAGTTCTATTGCAGAAAATAATACGTACTTTTCTCTCGCTTGAGAGTCCGAGGGCACCGTGGTCCCCTTTCCCTTCGCGTACATTCTCGAAGACCGTCAATTTTTCCAGTGTAAACAGAACCACCGTTTTTCGTTTTTACAGACAGACGTCCGACACTATTGCCGTAAGTAAGTTTTGCACCAGCCTTTATTTACGTAGCCGTGGTAATACAGTTTTCGTATCCTTTCGGATTTCCGCTTCTCAATCGCGCTGCTCGTCTTAATGGAAGAAATGTAATCAGCACCCGAGACCACGGGAATATTCACTGTATCTTCTGTATCAGGTCACACGCACGTTACGAACACGTCGTACCACTGCCGCGGCCAGCAGCCTATACTAGATACAGTACCCCGCATCATGGCTCGGCGAATTGTGGACGCATGACCGCGGAACGAACGAGCGTCGTCATCGTTCGCAGACCAGCCACTTGTACTCTTTGTCTCTGCCTTCTTCGTAACTGCGGCTCACTTTGCTCCAACCTCCAAGCCTTCCTTCCTTCCTTCTTCCCTCGTCGTTTTTTTTTCCCTTCTAACACTCGCTTTTCTCCCTTCACTGATTATTTAAAGTTATCCCCTCAAGAAAAAAAAAAAAGAAACGTACGTACGCGATCGTAGAGCTCGAACGTCCTGAGGCCGCGTCTTGCGAACCGAACGTAAACGACAGTATGTGTGCGTCCTCTCACCGCGATGCTCAAGCAGCGCTCGGTCACTTCACTCTCTTCACTCTCTTTAGCTTTGGCTAGCCGCTCACCTTACCTCACCTCACCTAAAACCAAGCCTCACCTCGTCCCGCCTCACCTCATTAAACGATACATACAGACGGACAGACGGAGAGACAGAGACAGTCATACACACTTGCATTTCACGCTCATCAAATGCGAAGCTCTCGACGTTAGCGACACGCCGATTTTACACCGATCCCCGATGCGTGGTACGTACGTCGACAATCTCGCGCGCAGAACAACGGACCAACGATAGGTCTGTTTTTATTTTGTCTCTTTCTTTTCTCTCTTTTATTTTATGACACCTACCTAGGCAGGTAGTAGAACGAAGCACAGTGGTCACTTTCACGTACACAATCACAGAGGCGAACTTTATTTTCGTATAAACACGCACAGGATCAGGAGTGTGTTTCGTACACGGTGTACGCGCAGTACTTACACTTACACACACGTACACGGGATACGGGATGCAACGCCGTCTCTCTCGCTCTCGTTCTCACTGTCTGTTCGTGTCGTGCGTCTCTGGCTCATAAAAGTTGCGCGCGCAGCCGTCGGTTTTCACGTCAGGTACGTAACGGTATATTATTCCCTTTCGTTACTTGGCGTTTGAACACTAGGATTGCCAGGATTGTTAGCAAATTCGTAATTTCGTGAGAGAAATTCAATTTACTTTAGGTTTGGGTACAGCATTCCCTTTGGGGGATTCGAACAATCTCTTTTGCAAAGCACGCTTAGTTAAAATCATGGACTCGCTTTGCTTGTTTTGCTTCATTGCCGATATTCCTATTTTGACAGGAATTTATAAATTGTAAATCGAACGATCAAAATTTGACTTATATTACCGTTCTCTGTATCGTTCTGTATTACCGATGTATACAAAACTAAGAGTCTTTACGAACATTCATCTCGGAATTTTTAGGAATTTTTGCTGACAATGTAAAAAAAAAAAAAATGCAGAATTGAACGTTAAATGTATCGTTTGTAAAATATTTGTAGAGGATATGTTGCGTAAATTGACAACAAAGAAATAGACAACGTATGTGCGACAGCGCCTATTATTGCTACGTTCCTGTTCGCAACTCTACGTGCTATTGGATGCTGATCGTTGTATGCGAAATATACCTGTATACATACCGTACGCGTACATTGTACAAGCTATCGGCGCATGTTACCGATAGCGGGGATAACCGAACACGTCCGAACACTAGCGAACATTGCCGATGCAAAATAGCCGACAATTGACTGAGCGTCGAGGGGTCGGACAGAAAAGAGACAAGCCATTCCTTCGGGTGTGCAGCTTCCCCTTTCTCAACTTTAACACGGAATTAATATATATATATATCATTGATTTTTACGAACTATGAACAATTATTTCACGAGGTTCATCTTTACGGGAGAACGATATAATCGACGATGATTAGATGTCTTAGTTCATTCTAATTTGCCTTAAATCTTTTAATTAATAAACTCAATTCAATACGAGATATTTCGAAAGAAAATAGACCTTTTGTTTTTAGTCTTATTATATCGTACTTTACGAATGCGGTTGTATTATTTTTTTATCGTTGGAGAATTTCTTTCAGGAAAGTGCGAAAGAATTGCGATGTTGCGATTTTATACAAAAAAAAGTTTTTCTTAAATTAATGTCCTTTTCCTTGAAATATGAAAATTTGGGAAACGCAGCTTAATTAGTAAATAAATAAATATTATACATACATACATATATCTTCTATAATATATAGTGTAGTATATTATGGATGTAATTAATGCACTGTGTAATCTGTGAGGCTGAAATGTAGAACTGAATGCATAGTGTATTACTGGACTATGGATTTTTATGCATTTGTGTGATGTGATTTTTATGCATTTTACGTGTCAAATTTGAAGATGCAAAATCGGAACAGAATGTATGCAACACAAGGAAATATATAAAATATATTCGAAATACAGTGCTTCTTGTAATATTTGGCAGGAGAAGTAATCTTCCATTCAGGCTCGATTTTTTTTTCAATCACATTTCCAGAAGTATGTTTTTTTGCACGAAAGTCCGCATTATTACGCACATATATATACGTGTAATAAGTTTTTACGAATTTTTATGCCTGTCACCAGGGCCGTGGCTCCTCTGAAAAGCACCACGCACTTGTAGGCAAATATCAAAGCAGTTGTTGACACATCCGATAGATGTCAATGGACGGTCCAGGCACAATTACGTGGGACGAATTCCTCGATAATGCCGAAAGCTTCGTAGAGATGTCAAATGAAATTTCCGACGGATGGGAACTTCGAGGTGACAAGGTGCTCGTTATCTTTGAATTCAGATGCCTCGAAAATGGAATGGGAAAGTTCTATCGAATAACAGGTATCTGTACACGAATTCGCAGATGGTGCCAGGAGAGGCGTACATTGCCCGTGAGCAGAAACAATACATGCGCAGCGGTAATAAGTCGACACCGAGATACAGCGACCCTGGCGATGATTTCGACTTTGTATTGAAACATGATCCTTTCGAGGCCACTTGCCCTATCGAGAGGCCATTAGTTACGGAGCATCATGTACTATGGTCGATGAGCTACAGCGTCCCAATTCTTTATTTTAATGGATGGAAATCAGGTGAACCCGCCATATTCATCCGTATCTTAGGGAAATTCTAAAGAGATCCTACAACGCATTCATTTTCAATGTCGGTGAATGCCGTTAATTTTATAACGTTCTATTCATCAAAATACGAAACATCTATCGCAATCTCCTTCTGATCACCACTAGACCTTAATCTGATGTGTACAGCCTGTTGAAAGTGGCAGGCGGCATAATGCTGATTGTTCCTTCGATTGTAGCTTATCTCGAACTAGGCTAAGAAGTGAGCAAAGAGATCACGAGTGACTCTGAAGGGGAGAGAAACAAAGGAAGTCTATATTGCACGCGATGAATTCGGGAATAGGTTTTTTAATATTTTTTATTTCCAGATGAGACCATCTACATGGAAAAATTATTTGCGAATTTTTTCGTCGTTTTTTTTTTTTTTTT